TATTTATCATAATCGATCAACACGTAAATAGTCAGCCATCCAAGTTTTTCGAATAATGATAGTGAAGGGGCATCATAAGCCACATCTAATATAATAGGGGCTGCCCTTTTTTGCAATTTAAAACTCTATCTATGCCAGTAGCTGGCGCATTACCCCAAATAGTTAGGCAATAATTCAAAGAGGGCAGAATGTATGCATTATAGAATAGTTTTCTTGTGTGTAAGGGAAGGAATTTTTTAATTTTGCGTAAGGTTTATAATTTATAAGTCTAAGATTTACAAACTGAGTCAATATGGTGATTATAGCGCAATGAATCATCAATATGTACTCTCAGAAGTTTTTCAGATTCAACATTTTCAATTGAATTGTTTGAAGCATATAAATTTAGTTCAGGGAAATCTATTCTTGATTTCCTCTATCGAGATAACAAACAGTATTCAAGATCAAAAGTTCATTTAACAATACAAAATAGAAGCAGAGCAAACAGTGGGGCTAGAAAAACTCGGAGGAGAGAGCAGGTGACATGGAATGGTAAGCATCCCTTCCCGGCCGGTCATGACAGCCGTTTGCTCCTTGCATATTGTCATGATCGGGAAATAACGTGGAAATCCGTCGTCAATTCGGTGTATAAAAATTGACAAATGAATAAGTATGAAAACCGTCAGTCAGCATTTATCTCAATGATAAATGATATAAAAGGTCATTGTACCGACCATAGCACTAACGAAATGATGACTTTTAACGATACTGCTGAAATTATTGCTTCATCAATCTGTTTGTCAATAATTTACCTAGTTTAAGAAATTGTTCATACGTAGAGCATTCTCTTACGTATCTTATCAACGGAGAGATATAAACCCCAGTTGCAGATGATTATTATCGGCCGCAGCAGCGGCCGATCTATTTGTGGTTGTGTTAGAAAGTGCACATGGGGAATTAAGACGTTATTGTTTATTTTAATAGTTCAGTAAAATAATTTTTGATTGATAAAAAGTATAAATCATGAGTAAAATAATTTTGAAAAACTTGTTTCAAACTTAGCATTAATTGTTGTTATTATATTTCAATTTCATTATCATTTCTCACTAAAAATTATAATTGATAATTTATGGTTATATAGAAAGGGTGAACAATAAATACTCCCCGCTCTGGGAGTGTGTAAGATATGAAAGGAAATCGCCATGATTTTCCGGAAAAATGTTGACGTGATAAAAGTGCATAGTGAATATTCAACGTAGTAAAAAAATGTTTTGAATATGCTCTACAGCTGAAAATGATGCAAAGATATTTTTTCCTACATTTTGCACCACGGCTTGCAGCAGAGCCTATCCTGCAGAAGCCATGGGTATTATCACGTTACAAAGATCCAGGGTATCAGCGCCCGGTTTATCTTGAGAGGCCTACATTATCATTTTGATAACAATAAAATCTTATCATTCATCATTGACTTTTTTTTACATCGATGAATCTATTTATGGGCAAATTCGGTAAAATGTCTATTAATTTTTTTTATTTTTTACTTTGCTTTTAAGACAGCCTAAAATAAAAGTGATTCAAACCATTTCACCTTTGAATATCTTGACGCGCTTTCCTTGCATGTGAAAGAATTTTTTTAATGCTAAATTTTGTTTGCAGCCGATTTGATGCTTTGCATCAATTTTACTTGTAGTGTATATTGCTGGATATATAAACTCCGTGTGTAGGTGATAAAGGTATATTACTGCATAAGTAACAGAAATTGACGATTGAACAGTTAAAGTGAACACGTTCATCAAACAGCTTGGTTGTTAGATTACCATTAACGTCTTTTTCAAGTTAAATATCCAAATATGAAACAGGTTTGTCAGACTCTGTAGTATCTTTATCTCAAGCTAACCAGAATATATCGTATCGGCATAAGAATGGAAAATACAATTGTTAATCGACAATACGTTGTCGATTTATATAAAGATTTTGCACCATTTCTGTTGAATTCTGATGAATACAAATATAGGTCCTCTAATAACAGGGCGCAATTGGTACCCATGGGGATTCCGATATAGTGTTGGAAGACCTGGTACAAAAACAACATGAGCAGACGCTCTAACCACTGTGACACGCGGGCGACATAAATGCATGGAATGTGATGATTTAAATCATAGTTTGCCAAATGCGATCATAACTGCTTATGACTGATTTTTTTCCAGAAGGCTTATTATACATAAATTGCTGCAATGAAAAATACAGGAAATTGAAATTTTACAATCAACTGTTTGCATAATTTCTGAACATGTAACAGAAAAATGACATGTTGCATGCTAAACAACTGTTACGTTTATCTACCAAAACAATGATAAACACATGCTACTAAGCTGGTTGAACTTTAAAATTAAAATATATACTTAACTAATGAATACCTATTAATGTCAGTCACATTACTATCCATGAAATTACACACAATTCGTATAAAATTAAAAATAATCTTGAAATAAAAAAGAATGGAAAAAAAAAACGAGAAAACACCCAAAAAATGAATAGTTTGAATATGACTTTCTTAAAAATAAATATAGTAATATTTATATTTACATGATCTAATAGTGCTTTATATTGTTTGTGATGATTCTTTTGTCTTACCTGTTTTGTACTGGTAAAGCTCGAATGTATTGTGTGCAGTGGCATAAACGTTTGTCCTCTGATTTTCACATGACTGTAATTATTTTTTATCTATTTCACAGTCATATACACTGGGCGTGAAAGGACAGCGAGGTTATTTTAATCAGAAGAATATTCAGATTGAATACTGTTCGTTATCTCCATATCCTTCTTCAGGGAGATAACAAACCGTTATCATGCTCAAATACAGAGTAAACAAGAGGTCACAGTACATAAGACATTGCATAATGGTGATTGAAAACTTAATCGAGAAAGATTATAAAAGAAATATGGATAATTTTGATTATGAAATATATGGCAATAACTGACCATATTTAAGATTTAAAGTCCATTAAACAATACAATATCAAACAAGTCTAAACGTCACCTCCAAAACATCAGATGTAATAGGTGCCATGAAGACGTAATCATCAAATGCCTACTAGTCACACCTGTCGTGTGTTCATTGTCACGATCGGGAAATAACGGAAACATCTGTCGACGATTCATGTTAAAATAATGACCTTACAATTGGTATGAAAAACATCAGTCAGCATTTAACTCGATGATGCTAAATTGTATTTGCTGCAAAGGCACATTGAATGGACGATAAAACTACAAAATGACGACTTTAAACGAAACTGGTGATACTCTAGTTTTATCTTATTATACTTATTAAGTTATTATCTAGCTTGAGTTGTGAAAGAGTATATCCTTCCGTCCGTATGTACGTCTATCTGTCTGTATACGTCTGTCCCTCCGTCCGTTACACGTTGGGGTATCTTCTCTTATCCGCAACTCCTTTTAAACCACTAAATGAAATTTATTTAGACTTTTAGAAAGTCTTTGTTACATTATGCCATTATGCACCTCTTTTTTATTTTTTTGATCCGACACATATTTCAGTGGAAACATTGACACTGCCATTTTCTCTACATCATTGAAGGGTACCAACCTTTCATCCACACCTCCTCCTTTAACACTGAATAAAATTTAATAATAGATTCACAGATTCTTGATTAAATCATGACACTGTGCACCTCCTATTTTACTATTTGATCAAATCCTTACCTCGAATTCTTAGTGCACAATATTGACTTCTCTATTATAATCATAAGGGAGGCGGGGTTATAATTTAGTGAGCTCAGTGCTCACAGTACCTCTAGTTTTTATATTATATACCTCATTTAGGAAATTGTACATAAATTAAGACCAAATTCTTGCGTATCGAATCAACTGAGAGATATAAATCCCTTGTGCAGGTGCTGCAAATGTATTACAGATTCCTTGTTTTTCGCGAGTACTTATTATCGCAAATGGACGATTGATCAAAAGATTTGGCATAGATTTCAGACCATAAAAATAAAGGCGAGTAATTTTATTTTGCGTGATGGTGCTTCTAGCGAAATTACGATATAATTTATTCCACGCGTATATTAAGGAATCTACAGTATCTTGCTGTATAGGTAAGGAATGTTGACGATTGAAAAGTTAAAGTCATCACGTTTATCATAAAGCTTGGTAGTTAGATAATCATTAACGTCGTTTTCAAGTAAGTAAAATATCTAAATATGAAACATGTGTATCAGACTCTATGGTATTTTTTTATTTCAAGCTCATTGGGATATATTGTATAGACATAAGAATGGAAATAATCTATGGTAATTGATACAGTGTCGTCGATATATCGAATTGTCGAGTTGAAGGCCATCGCTTCTTTTTCACGAATAAAATACTTAGTCTAGTATTTGACAAATTTTGCTTCATACAAAATACAATTCTTAAACAGCATCTTTTTAGTTTGAGTTATTACATAATAACTCTAATTGATTCTACAGTCTTGTTCATGTTCCTAGTGAATGAAAGTTAAAAATAAGAAAATTCCATCCAATAAGTTGTGGATGAACGTTAATTCCCACGATGTCCTGATTAACTTCATTACCGAGTCAACAAAAAGGAGAAAGAGGGAGGGTGATAATAAGGTACAAATTGCAGTACTTGTCTTCTTTTAAAATCTTCTTCTTAAATCTCATTGCAGTCCTTTGTGGGTTTCTTTATACGCCATGTCAAATTGTAATTGGAACTGTTCTGCAGGTCTGAAGATTGCAGTTTTGCAAGTTATGACACTACGTGTATGCATTAGAATAATACATTTGTCATAAATAAATGGTTAACATGTCTTGATAATCTAATAATAAAGTATTTCCACCCTACGATTTGCTAATGTTTATACAGTGAATAATTTTTGAAATCTGTGTATCTTGTGTTTAGATGCAATACATTCGGTACAAACAGCAGAGAAGTTCACTTAACTTTTCTTTATGAACCAAGCATTTTGGGAAATCTGTAGGCGTTTTTCTTTGACTGACCCTTACAACTGTGTGTGGCTTGGTCAGTTCTGATGCAACATCTTCCTCAATACACAATTTACAGAGACAGATATCACAGTACAGCTGTACCATGGCAGTTTTGCAAAGGTCACATGACGTCATATATTCAGGACCTTCCAGGTAGTCCAAAGCTGGTAAAGGAATTTCCATCTGGATAAAAACATTAAAATATATCATTAATTGTGTCATTTTTTTTTCATTTAATCTGATGGACTGATAATTTGTATCTCATGTGAATAAAAATTAGCTAAAGTTAAATGTAGTTTACCATAGCACATGCATGTATACATGCACTACCTCATATGAAATGGTTTATCTCAAGAGAAACGAACCAGGATCACGCAGACGATGCGAGCACCCAACCATTCGACATAGTATGAATGTGTATGGGGCGCCGTTTTGGTATATACTGCCAAAAATGATATCACCTATTCGAATAGGTGATATCTACTATAAATTAATTGGTGATATCACCTATTCAAATAGGTGATATCACCTATTGGGGATGTTGAATATGTGATATCACCTATTCGAACAGGTAATCCACCTATTTGAACACGTGATATCACCATTTAATTTGAATTGGTGATATCACCTACACAGGTTGTAATTTTCACGTTTTATTCTTCTCTGATACGGTCGCGGTTTCTTAAATTTGCGGAATTGGTTTATAATAAAAGTTTCCTCCCTTATCAATACCTATTGAAATCTTATTCACTGTTTCTTGATTTCACGGATTCGTTTACACCGTGAATATAGCGAATATTAACACCACAAGTTATTTTCCCCCTATACAGTATTCGAAAAGGTGATATCACTTATTCAAATTGAATAGGTGATATGAAGTATTCGAATAAATGATATCACCTATTCAAATTGAATAGGCGATATCAGCTATTCGAAAAGGTGATATAGCTTATTCGAATAGGTGATATCACCTATTTCAAATTATTTATGAAACTAGAGGTACTGTGAGCGATGAGCTCACTAAATGATACCCCCTGCCTCCATATGGTTATAACTGGTGAAAAAGTCCACGTTTTTCTGTGGCCGGGAAACCCAAAATATGTGTCGGATCAAAAGTAAAAATAGGAGGTGCACAATGGCAATATGTTATAAAGATTCTGTGAAATATGCATCAAATTTCATTCAGTGGTATGAGAGGAGTTGCGGATAAGAGATGGGTACCCCAAAGCGTAACAGACGGACGGACGGACGGACGGACGGAATTAACTATTACTATATACCCTCCCGCTTTTCAAGCGGGGGTATAATAACAACACCTCCAAGACTATACGTCCCTAAATCTTATTATACCCCGCTTGAAAAGCGGGAGGGTATAAAATAATCGGTATTTCCGTCTGTCCGTCCGTCCGTTCGTGTATTACGCTTTGGATTACCCATCTCTTATCCGCAACTCCTCTCATACCACTGAAGGAAATTTTATAAAACTTTCACAGAATCTTTATTACATATTGCCATTGTGCACCTCCTATTTTACTTTTTGATCTGACATACATTTTGGATTTTCCAAAGCAAAACATGGACACTGCCATTTTATTCATATGGGAGGGGGGGGTATCATTTAGTGAGCTCATTGCTCACAGTACCTCTAGTTTACTGTAACTTTCGTTTTTTAACTCATTATTCTAGGAGACAAATGATTACAGTTTTGCATTTAATTTAGATCAATCCCAGTAGAAATTGAAGTTTGTTTTGCTCACATACTAGTTTATTTTACTTATCTATCATGAAAAATAAAAGAAAAATTGGGGAAAAAAGCATGAAAAGTAGTAGTCCGAGTTTCTTTGGTTCCAGTGGTAATCTGTATAATATAGGGAGCATTCATTATTTAATGTTGTGAGAAATTCAAATTGATGCAAAATTGACTATTTCTATGGACAGATCACTCTTACTGCATTAAAACTATAAGTTAGTATATTTTGTTATTTAAAAAAAGTCATTGATGCCTATTTCCTGAACAAAACATGATGTACAAGTAGAAACTATTTTAAAGCTTGTTTTTTTAGTATGTAAAGAAACTGATAATAAGTCTCGAGTGGGACGTAAAGGAAATGCACTCAGTCATTCATTTTCTTGAATAATTTTTTCCTACACCTTTTCTATAACAAAGAATTTATTACATAGAACAAAAGAAAAAAGGCTGCATCAGGGATAGGGAAAAGCTCCAACTGAATAATTTTAAATACATCTTGGTTTTTATGCCCCGTTAACGAAGTTTCGGGGGTATTAAGTTTTTGTCGTGTCCGTCCGTCTGTCTGTCTGGAAGTCTATTTGTTAAAAAATTTTTACCTTGCCCATAACTTTTGATTTAGTGGGACTATGACTCTCCATATTTTACCTGTGGTTTTTTTTTTTGACAAGACCTTTCCTTGGGTTCCATCAAATTTGACCTTTTGCCCACTTTTACACAAAAAAATGTCAAACTTTTACTTTGGTCATATATTTTTTGACCTTAATAACCAGTGGGTCGTAACATAAAGGCTACTTAAGTCTAAGACCGTGCTTAAGGATACACCAAAGGTTTCCAAAGGGCAAAATTTAATTTGCTTGTAATTCTTTCATTAATAAAGATAACATATTAAAAGTATATATCATTTGAAAGCTTGTTAAATTTACTATTTAATGATCTTTATTTATATTTTCATTTTTATCTTATTAAAAAATTATTATTTTAATGCAAGTATTAGTGCATGTATATTTGATAATCAGTTTTTTTTTGTATTCCACTTCTCAAAGTCAAAAAATTGCCACAATGTAGATTAAAAATTGAACTTTAAAACCGTATCTCAGATTTTTGATAAAGGACAACATAAGGTAACAGCCGAATCTGGCCCCTTTTTTGATTTAAAAATCATAATATGGTAAAATTGTGATAGTTTGTAGTTAAAAATTAAAATGATGCTTACTTTACGACAAGTACTAATTTTGAGTAAAAGCTTATATGGAAGCTCCTAGATGGTGCAGAAAAAGGACATTTTTCCGAATTTCCTCAGTTCTGGTGGAATTTCATCATATTTGGGATACATTTCTCTTCGGAAAACATAGAGCACACGCTTGCCTATCTCAGATTTTTACACATATACTGCATCTGATATCTGTGTATAAAATATATAAATTTGGTTGATAGGCATGCGTGTGCTCTATGTTTTCCGAAAGAAAATGTGCTGTAAAATTAATGAAAATTTGCATAAAAATGGAAAATTCCTAGATTTTCGATTTCCTGAACTTACTGGGACCCCTGTATAATTTAAATCTAAAACCAACACTCGTTTTGTGGGAAGGGGTGAAAACAGGTTTTCATGGATAAACTGTTGGATCATTCTGAAAGACACTCAAAATTGGGGGCCAAATAATGGTCTTACCCTGATCTTGTCCCTTCTTATTCAGAAGTTACATCCATTTGTCTTATGATGTTACTAATTTATTAGCCCAATTGTACATTTCCTCCAATAATTCGAGAACTGAGCAAGATATAAAAAAAATTGAGATACGGTTTTGTGAACACTCATTTGAGACGTATTCTGGCCAGTTTTTCAGAGAAATTGGTCAAAGGAAAATAAAGGGGGGGCCGAATCCTTTGAAATTAATACAACCAACTGTCTCATCATACTTTACAGTAGAGGGCAAAAATCCATTACACAACAAATTCTGCCAAAGCTAGAAATAGATGACACCTTGGAGATTCAGCTTTGGATACATGTCACTTATCCATATTTCCTATGCATATTCATATGAATGGGAATATTCTATTCTTTATTAAGGTGCTTTTAATGAAGTAAAATAGGTTCAATTCTAATCAGAAAGATTTCCCTGGTAAAGAAAAATGGCAAGAGCTAAATTCACCTCCTATTTCATGGTCATTAGTGACCTGTTAGATCTCCTTCCCTAAATCTAGAGTCCTGTAGTTTACTAACTGATAACCTTTGTGGCTAGTGAAGAATTCCCCATGTGGTCACAGTGATTTATTGCTCCTTTCAGAAGCAGGCAGTAACAGACCAAATCAGAAGCTTCAATAACGGCACATTAACATGTGTTAGTGATTATTGTTAAATAATTAGAAAACCATTTAATAATCAGCGATAATTTTTCATGCATTGTAAGGCATTGATTAACATTGTTTTCTGGAAGCCAAAAATCTCCAAATTTAAAAAAATCTTGAAAAAAGCTTTTGATGTATCCTTAAGTAGGACTTAAGTACAGTATAAAACTTAAGAACGTAACTAGAAGCGTACTAAGATTTAATAATCTTAGCAAAACTTAGGCGACCGGTAAAGGTAACTAAGTATATCTTAACTTTCTTATACATATATTTAGAATTATTTAATGTTGACTCTCTCGGTGTAAAAACATACCTCTATTCATATTATGCATTCAAGAAAAGAACATCTATTTAATGTGATTTAAGAATTTTAGTTTTTCGTTGGGGGGGGGGGGGGGTGATCAATGAATCCAATATCTCTCTCGATACAGCATACATGTATATACAACATTTAAATTTAGGGATACATCTGAAAATAGTGGGACCTTGGTTATAGAAATAAATTGAACACAGTAATAAGTCATGGATTAGTACGTTCACTTTGAAATTATGAGTTGAAATATTTTTTTAAAAACAGAAAAAGAAAGAAAATGATGACCAAAGCTGTAATAAAAAGTATCTGTAAAGTAGAATAAATGTAGAACGCGACAAGCACGGATATAGACAAGGCTCACTACGGTTCGAGAGAGAGAGAGAGAGAGAGAGAGAGAGAGAGAGAGAGAGAGAGAGAATTGTTGATAAGTGGAGACAAACGAAAAAATACCCCCTGACTTTTTTTAATCCTTGATTAAATTGCAAATGAGTATAATTTAAAACTTCTGCAGTCTTTGATTCTGACATGCATGACCTGATGCATAACATAAAATGTATTGAACTAGAGTTTCAATCTCAAGTAGATAGACGGTCGGTTATCTTATCTTGTCTGCGATAATAACAGGGTAACCAGGTACCTGAACATTTCTCATAACAAAAGGTAAACTGAAAACATCTCAAGTGATAAAGCAATTGTCGTTATTTACAATGAACCACCAGTCGCCACTTTCTGGCCGTGCAGTACATGTGTATTTGTTTTCAAGATTCCAAACAT